GAGCTCAGGCACACAGTCTTTCACGATTGGCTAATTCAAAGGGAGGGGTTGGCCCTTGTTGTTTTAAGATGGCAGCCCTAGCCAAACCGGTTTGGCTCAGTGGATGGATTGTTAGCCTGTGGACTCAAGGGTCCTAGGTTCAATTCCCATCAAGGGCATGTACCTTGATTGCGGGCACATCCCCAGTAGGGGCTGTGTAGGAGGTAGTTGATCAATGTTTTTCTCTCATCAATGATTCTGACTCTCTATTCCTCTTCCTTCCTCTCTGTAAAAAAATCAATAAAATATATTAAAAAAAAAAAAAAGATGGCGGCCCCCAGGGGACCTGCAAGTCATGTGGTCAACATGGAGGCTGTCTAAACTGTTCTTTGACAGAAAAGATGACTTGTTTATTCTCACAGTTGCCTCCTGCACAAGTCCTGCCTGGATGGAGCCTGCAACCAAAGTACATGCCCTTGACTGGAATTGAACACGAGACCCTTTGGTCCTTAGGCCAATGCACTATCCGTTGAGCCAAACTGACTAGGACTAAACATTCTTTTTTAAAAAAAATATTTTTATTGATTTCAGAGAGGAAGGAAGAGGGAGACAGAGATTGAAACATCAATGATAAGAGAGAATAATTAATTGGATTCTTCTTCCATACCTTTCACTGGGGTTCGAACCTGCAACCAGAGCATGTGCCCTTTTATTTATTTATTTAATTTATTTATTTATTTTAAATATATTTTATTGATTTTTTACAGAGAGGAAGGAAGAGAGATAGTTAGAAACACTGATGAGAGAGAAACATCAATCAGCTGTCTCCTGCACGCCCCCTACTGGGGATGTGCCCACAACCAAGGTACATGCCCCCGACCAGAATCGAACCTGGGACCTTTCAGTCTGCAGGCCAACACTCTATCCACTGAGCCAAACCCTTTTAGGCGAGCATGTGCCCTTTTAACCAGAATCGAACCTGGGACCCTTCAGTCTATAGGCTGATGCTCTATCCACCGAGCCAAACTGGCTGGGACTAAAAATTAACTCTAAATAATAAAAGTTCTCAGAAAAATAGGAACAGAAAAGAACTTCCTCAACTTGATAAAGAGTATCCACAAAAAAATCCATAATTAATATTATACTTAACTAGAGGCCTGGTGCACGAATTCATGCACAGGTGGGGTCTCTCTGGGTGTCCTGCAAGGATCAGGCTGAAACTTGCACTCCAAGGCTTCCTGTGGCTCCTACCTGCCGCTCCTGCTCATCCCAAACCCACTGTGCCTGCTGCAGGCTTGTGCCCAATCAGTCCCAATAGGGAGATGCTCACACTGCCTCAGCAGTGCTCACCAACCAAAAGCCCTGTGTCTGTACCTTACCAAGGGGCATAGCCTGTGGAATCATGCTGAAATCGGCTCTCTGACATATTCTGAAGGGTCCCACGTTGTGAGAAGGTGCAGACCAGGCTGAGTTACCTCACCAGTGGGGAGGGACTGCCAGAGGGCTCCAGGGCATGTCTGGCCCATCTTGCTCAGTCCCAATCAGTTGGACTCCAGAGCAAGATAACCTACTGGTCTGGGCATCTATCCTCTGGTGGTCACTGCATGTCAGAGTGAGTGGTTGAGCAGCTTTAGCATATCATTAACATATTATGCTTTGATTGGTTGTTTGGTTCTGCCATTTGGTCTATTTGCATATTACACTTTTAAAAAATATATATATTGATTTTTTACAGAGAGGAAAGGAGAGGGATATAGAGAAATATCAATGAGAGAGAAACATCAATCAGCTGCCTCCTGCACACACCCCTCTGGGGATGTGCCCGCAACCAAAGTGCATGTCCTTGACCGGAATCGAACCTGGGACCCTTTAGTCCACAGCCAATGCTCTATTCACTGAGCCAAACCAGTTAGGGCAACATATTACATTTATTTATTTATTTATTTATTTATTTATTTATTTATTTATTTAATATAGTATGGTTTAATAAAGGCCAAATGCTTTCCTTCTAAAATTGAGATCATAGAAAAGATGTCTGCTCTCACCAGTCTTATTAAACAAAGTGCCAGGAGTTGTAGCCAACTCAATAAGGCAAGACAAGGCAATAAAAGGCATTCATGCCGAAACCGGTTTGGCTCAATGGATAGAGCGTCGGCTTGGGGACTGAAAGGTCCCGGGTTCGATTCCGGTCAAGGGCATGTACCTTGGTTGCGGGCATATCCCCAGTAGGGGGTATGCAAGAGGCAGCTGATCGATGACTCTCTCTCATCCATGTTTCTTACTCTCTATCTATCTCCCTTCCTCTCTGTACAAAATCAATAAAATATATTTTAAAAAAATAAAAAAAAGGCATTCATATCAGAAAGGAAAAAATGCTCTATGTACTGAGTATATCAATGTCAATATCCTGGTTGTGATATACAAAAGTTTTGCAAGATTATATTATTTCTTACAATTGAATGTTAATCTACAATCATCTCAAAATAAATGTTTAACTTGTCCAGCAGGTGTGGCTCAGTGGTTGAGTGTTGATCTATGAACCATGGTTTAATTCCTGGTCAGGGCATCTGCCTGGGTTGTGGTAGGGCACCTGTCCAGTGGGGGGCGTGCAGGAGGCAACCAATCAATGATTCTCATATTCATGTGTTTATCTCCTCTTTCCTCTCAGAAATCAATAAAACTATATATATTTTTAAAAATGTTTAACTTAAAAAAAGTATGGGGTTGCCCTTCCTTAAATCTCATATATATATATGCCTTGCATTCTTAGTATTGCAGGGGAAAAAATGAATTAATACTATTGTTGAGAGTATGAACTCTCCTGTTCAATGATACTAAAAGAAGCCAGATTCTTTTATGCATGAGTTTTTTTCTTTCTTTTTTTAAAAAAAATATATTTTATTAATTTTTTACAGAGAGGAAGGGAGAGGGATAGAGAGTTAGAAACATCGATGAGAGAGAGTCATCAATCAGCTGCCTCTTGCACACCCCCCACTGTGGATGTTCCCGCAACCAAGGCACATGACCCTGACTGGAATCGAACCTGAGACCTTTGGGTCCACAGGCTGCTGCTCTATCCACTGAGCCAAACTGGTTTAGGCTATTATGTTTTTAAAGTATATTTTTACTGATTTCAGAGAGGAAGGGAGAGGGAGAGAGATAGAAACATCAACCATGAAAGAGAATCATTGATTGGCTGCCTCCAGCACGCCCTGCCGGGGCTGGCCAGCAGACCCTGAGGGATGGAGGCTGACAGAACCCGGCAGCCTCGGTAGCCAGCCTCGTTAGGAGCAGTTTGAGATAAAGTTTATCTTTTAGATACCATCAGCAGGGTAAATAATCTTGAGAGGACCCTTGTGTTTGTAGTGTCTTTTAAGCCAGGGCACCTAAAGATTAAGCACCAGGATTGCAGTCAACACCGGGAGGTCTGTTCAAGCATGGACTTGTTTGGAAAGGTCAGGGAATAATTGGGGACCTCCTTAGTCGGAATTCCGATAAACAGGGCAGGTGGCCTTCTTCACACTTGTCCTCCTTACAAACTTCCCAACCCAGTCTCATGCTTCCCCACAAGACCCCACACTGGGGATTGAGCCTGAAACCCGGGCATGTGCCCTGACCTAGAATGGAACCCTGACCTCTTGGTTTCTAGGTCGACACTCAATCACTGAGCTACACCTGCCAGGCTGATTATTTTTTAAAGTTTCACATTTATGCGGTTGACCATGCTAAGACTATCTCTGGAATTAGGTAACAATTGGTTTGGGGAGAACAGAATGACTGAAGGAGCTGTTCACAAAAGTGAATAAATATAAAATTAACTGGTGACCAGATTTCCCATAAGGCTGTTGTCGAGAGAGAGTACTATTTAAAAAAATAAATCTTTATTGCTCAGATTATTACAATTGTTTCTCCTTTTCCCCCATAGCTCCCTTTACCCAGTTCCCGCCATCCTCTGCCCTTCCCCACCCCCCCACCCTTATCCTCATCCATAGGTGTACGATTTTAATCCAGTCTAGAGAAAGAATACTATTTTGATCAAGTTTTTGCTTGAAGGTTTTAAGTTCTAGAAAACTGCCACCTCCCTGCCTTTGCCATTGGGCCTACAGATGTCCCCGGTGTATGGGTTATACTTTTTAAGTATGTGCATGAAACAGAGTGAAAATAGCACTGGACTAAGACTTGGTCTCTAGTCCTGAGTCTAAGTAGTTGTGACCTTGAACAAACTCTTTCAACTGTTTCCCTGGGCTCCAGTTTCCTTCTATGCAAAACCAAGAACGTGTTCTGTAATGTTGCTGGTAATAATTTTAAGAATTCTTTTGGGAGGGGTGTACCTGAGTGTTGAGTAAACTTTGGTTAACCGGGTGGAGGCTAAGAGGGGCATAAGGAAGATGAGCAGGCGCCCCTCTGTTTTTTAGTCCGAAGCAGCAGACCCAGTGATTCTAGGGGCCTATGAGGTCCCAGCAACTACTTTCCACCTCCCACCCTGATTCCTGGGGTAGAGTCAGTTGTCATTCAATAAATAATGAGTGAATGTGTAAAGGAGATGAATGACAAGTGGACCTGGAACTGCGCAATTATCTAGCGAGTTCCTGCAAAAATTTACAAACACCCAGCCTTTCCTCCGAGGAGGCTTCCAGTGGGAACCCCTCGCAGTTCAGAGGATGCATTCAGATCTCCTTCCGCTGAGAGGTCAGCCGTCCGGCCGAGGAGGGGGCGGAGCCTCCTCGCCCCGCCCCCGCCCGGCCCCGCCCCTCGCCGCGCGCCCGGCCTATGGCCACGCGCGCCTCGGGCCGCCGGAGCCGCCGGCGCGGCGCTGTCTCTGCGTCGCCCGCTCGGGGCCGGCGCCCGCGGCCCGCGCAGGTGGGTGGGATCGCGGCGGAGACGGAGCGCGCCGGCAGCGGCGGGAGAGCGCCATGGCAGCGGCATCCAGTCCCCGCGCCGCGGCGAGGTGACGAGCTGCCTCTTCACGGCTGAGGAGGCCACAGCCGCCCACTCGCCTTCCACGCGGGACGCGCTCCGGCATGGCCGGGATCATTAAGAAGCAGATCCTGAAGCACCTGTCCCGGTGAGAGCGCCCTCCCGCCGCGGTCCCGGGCCCTGCCTCAGCCCCTTCGTCTCCCCTCCCGGCCGCCGCGCCCCCGGCCGGCCTCCCTCTCTTCAGCCCGAGTCCGGACTCCGAGCGGCCCCCGCCTCGGCTCGAGCCGGACCGTCTTCCTCCCGCCCCGCTGGCCCCGGCTGTGGTCACCATCTGCTCTTCCGTCGCCCTGGGCCCTTGCGCTGGTGCCCGGCACCCCCTTCCCTCCGCATCCTACCCGCTCCTCTCTCCCCGCGACCATCAGGCTCCCCGGCGGCCACCCTCCCCTCAGTTCCCACCCCGCCGGGCGGGTCACGCCGACCTCCCATGCACGTGACCGTCCCTCCGAGGCCCCCACGACTGCACCCTTTCCTGCCCGCCCAGCTGTTTCCTCCCCCGCCCCCTCCTGCTGGGACCCGCTGCCCCCCCCCCCTCCGGGTAGCCACCCTCCCAGCCCCCCCCCCCCCCCCCAGCCGCTCTCCTTCCCGGGACTGCTCCACGCCAGCCCCTGCATCCTCGGCCGTTCTCAGTAACCCTCGCACCCAGCCCTTCATGACCGCTTTTCCACTCCGATGTCTAACTCCAAGGCTGTTTCTCCTTCCCAGAAGCTCCCAGCTCCTCCTCTGGGTCGCCCGGCTGACCCTGTTGCATCACCTTGGAAAAGATGTCCCCGCACCCAGGGCCGCTCCTTTGATCCCCTGCTCCCTCCTTGGCTCCTCTTCTCATTACACAGGCTAATGGGGACAGGTCAGGAGAGTTGGGCATAAAGTTTCAGCAACCTCCCCTTTAATACATGGAGGTTTTTGACAGCCTGTGAAAAGAGCGAACCGTGTCCGCCTCTGCTTTGAAGCCATTTTTTTTTAAGCCATTACCGTAATGCCCCTCAGTAATGTGGGTAGAGAGGGTGGCAGCAATACCGTTTGCAGGTGTAACTGGGTCACGGCTGACCCCTGTGTTCCTGCTGGGGATTGTCAGAACCGGTGGCCACAAACATTGGAAGCTAGGCTTTCGCTCAATGTTCTCTTCTTATTCCCAGCGGGGCTTGGTGATGCCGGGATACCCTCAGCCAGCTCTGGATCTCAGGTGCAGAGAGATTCAAGCCGAGGCCACAGTGGTCAGCGGTTCTGGCGGGGGGGGGGGTGGGGGGTGGGGAGGAGCCAGTGGAGACGGGACAGCGGCCTTGCACTGATTGTCTTCCCTGGGCTTCTCCCTGTTGGTGAGCAGTATGTGGACACTATTGCCGCCACCGCGTCCCCTCTTCTGGTTGGCACTCTGACTTATTTACTCTTACTTTAATTTTAGACTTTAATTAGTCATAGGTTGAGATACACCTTTTAATCACCACGTTATAAAAGTAAAAGCAGGTTGGCCACTCGAGCTAGAAAGTGCCTTTGGATCCTTTGCTAGGAGTAACCCCTTAATATATTCTTTTCAGGTAGTACTGTTTTCATGTGGATGTTCCATGGGTATGGTTTTTCTGTGTAAATATTTAAATAGAAGTAGGACTAATGATAATTTGAATGAATATAGAATCAGAATTTTAGAGTTTAGAGATGATCTCACCTAACAAAATATTGTATTTAAGAGCCTAGACCTTTCCTGGTTTACTCTATTCAGCTGTAAAATGAGGACAATAATAGTATCTATTATTGTCTTAATAGATAACTTAAAAGGTTATTGTGAAGTTTGCATGAATTAATATAGGTTAGGATTTAGCACAGTGCCTTGCACATAGTGAGTACTCAATAAAATACAATGCATGGTTTAATTTTGGGGCCTCTGCTTGTGTGACAGCAACAAATATAAGTCAGACTTTTCCAGAAAAATCCATTTTTATGAACAGTTAATTATTCAATATATGTTCCTGGGTGGTTGGGTATGAACCCCTAAAGCACATGCCTGAACCCTGCAAGGCATTCTGGACCCAGGTGAATAGTCCATGACTAGTTCCACCTCTCCTGTTATGGCTGAGGAAACAGCCTGGAGAGGACACCTCATGCAGTGAAGGTGTGTAATGGAAGAAAACCCACCTCCTACTGGTGTACTTTCCCCTGGAGGACCCACATGTTCTGTGTACTTCATGTCCCGATGCGGATAGGGTTTTTAAAGAGGAAACTTAATCGTCTATGCTAACATATTCAGTGAATCCTTAGTGAACAAACTATCTCTTTTAGATGAAGTAGGAATAGATATGGCAGACATTGGGAGAAATTGCTGGTTTCTTCAGGTTGGGTGGTTGATTGAGGAGGAGAAGGAGGAAGTTATTCAGGGCTCCAGGAAGAGGTCTGGGACATTAGCTTGGTTGAAGGAAAGGTCAAACTCCCGGGGCCTTTATATTTGTTTGACGTGAAATAACTGGCCAAGCATGTGTGACATTTGTGTCTCTATGGTCTGCTGAACCCGCAGAGGCTGGCCTGCCTGGAGGGAGCTAGCTCCCCTGGCTTGCCAAACCTGAGGGGGAGAGAGGAGAGAAAGAGACCGAGTTACTAGGCTAAGTAAACATTTGTAGGCGTTTAATAAGTACTTGTTGCTGATGATGACAGAGCCACTTGACTTGGAGGGAAGTGTCTGATAGCAGGAAAGATATCCCAGTGGCTTCCATAGTATGTTTAATTTTAGTCACGAAGTTTCAGATATTGAAGTGTCTTGTTGGAATGCGTCTTCTTTCTTAGTAGAGTATTTTGGTAAACAAGATTTGAGGGAAGTGCTATTTAAAATATTTTTGTTAAGTGCCTACTGTAGACAAGGCACTGATCTGGGCACTGGGGATGCCACAGGGAAGAAATGTAAACATCTTTTAAGGGCTTTCACCTATGGTTTGGATGATTGTTGTGTAATACAAGAAGCTTCAACGCACAAAATTCATTTAAGTAGACCCAGGATACCCTCACTTAGAAACAAAAGTGATTATTTAGAAAACATCCAAATTGATTTTTCACTAAGTTAGATTTTTCTTGTTTTAGTTAATGACCTTAGCTATGACCTTTTATTACACAAGTAAGAGGAAATCTGATTGTGAAGTACCATAAGTCAGGGGACTATAGTTCATGGAAAGAGCAAGGACTCTGGAGCCAAACAAGCCAGATTCGCCTTCCAGCTCTGCCACTTTAATGAACAGGCAGCCTTTCTGAGCCTTAGTGTTCTTATCTGTAAAAGAAGAGAATAAGGAAGAATACTACATACCAAGCAGATTTTTTTTGAGGATTGGGGATAAAGTATTGTAGTACTTGGTATGTAAATAGGGTTTATAAAAAGTAGCTATTGTAACATGGCTAGAGAAGTTAGGAACACTAATCACAGTGTGAATGACAGCAACCCTCCTGACTGGCTATTTTAGAAACCAATAAGAAGTCTTAATTATTTACTCCAAATAGTTGCAGGAAATAATGACCTTGAGTGACAAAGACATAGCTGATAAACATGGTAGGTATTTAAAAAATATAAACATAGCCAAAAACGGTTTGGCTCAGTGGTAGAGCATCGGTCTTCGGACTGAAAGGTCCCGGGTTCGATTCTGGTCAAGGGCATGTACATTGATTGCGGGCACATCCCCCGTGGTAGGGGGTGTGCAAGAGGCAGCTGGTCGATGTTTCTCTCTCATCGACGTTTCTAGCTCTCTATCTCTCTCCCTTCCTCTCTGTAAAAAATCAATAAAATATATTTAAAAAAAATAAAAAATATAAACATTAGGTGAAATTCAGAATCCTTATGGAGAATAAGAGAGTCTCACTGTGCCCAGCCCTGTTAGTTCCTGATCAGTGCCTCCACTTGTTACTATTCTTCTCTTTCTTTCTTTCTTCTTTTTTTTTTTTTTATAATATATTTTTATTGGTTTCAGAGAGGAAGGGAGAAGGGAGAGGGAGAGAGAGATAGGAACATCAGTGATGAGAGAGAATTATTAATCGGCTGCCTCCTGTACACTGGGGATTGAGCCTGAAACCCAGGCAGTTGTCCTTGCGGAATCGAACCCGGGACCCTTTAGTCCACAGGCTGACACTTTATCCACTGAGCCAAACCAGCCGGGGCTCATTAGTATTCTTTCCCCTGAAGAGCTCATCGTGGCCACCCCCGGTGGACAGTGGCGAGCCGAAGGCTCACAGAGGCTGACAGCTTGTCCAGGATCTGTGTAAGTGAAGGTTGGTAGGATTAGTCTCAACTTCTAAGTCATGCTCCTTTATTGTCACCTTCCCTTCCCAAATACTTATTTTATGCATTTCCTAGTACTAGTCAAATCATATGTCTTTGTTTCCCTTTCTTATCTTTTTTTTATTTTTATTGATTTTTCACAGAGAGGAAGAGAGAGGGATAGAGAGTTAGAAACATCGATGAGAGAGAATCATCGATCAGCTGCCTCTTGCACACCCCCCACTGGGGATGTGGCTGCAACCAAGGTACATGCCCTTGCCCGGAATCGAACCCGGGACCTTTCAGTCCACAGGCCAACGCTCTATCCACTGAGCCAAACTGGTCCCGGCCCTTTCTTATCTTTTTTTTTTTTTTTTTTTTTTCCTGTGAGGAATTTTATTTCCACAAATGTATTACATCCCTAGAAAAAGAATCCCAGGATTTTCCCTCCTGTGTGTTTTTGTCTTGCTTCTTCATGGTCCATGATGCCCGCTGAGGTTGTCAGTACAATGAAACCAAACTGACGGGATGGAAGCAAGTTGTTCTGCCATTTTTCTAGATCTTTGAGTTGCACATCAAATCTGGGACTGATTACTCCACACTTGTTCAACCTGCCTGTGAGGTTCACAACTATTTTCCCAGCTCTGTGGTCATCAATAATTTCAAATTTGCCATTGTAACCATGCTTCATCATCACGGTCAGAAACCGGACGATGACTTTGGAGCACAGCCTAATGAGGACCTGGCGTTTGCCTCGCTTTTCGGCATTGTTGATACTCTTCAGAGCATCAGCCAGGACATTCATGCGCACCATTGTGGCGGCACAGACCGATGGCGGAAAGAGCTCTTATCTTCTTATGTTGCTT